TCAAAGTCCACACTGCCTTAGTCCCAGCTCATATCATGATTTGCAGCTGCTTCTTCTCTGCCCCTCCCTAATTTAACTCCTGGAGAAGGGGGGTGGTTTCTGGCTTCCTGATCAGCCTTATTTAGCTGATACATCACTATTTTGAACTTTATTTTTTTGTAAGATTTATTCATGTATCAATAAGTAGGGTATAGACTATGGGTGCAGAGGGGTGAGACAGTGGGGAGCAGAATAGGCAGATGCAGAAATACACTGCTGGTACATACATGGTCTTCTGTGCCATGTATGTTAGCTGTGCTGCAATGGCTGGCAATAGCTAGATAGCACTGTCTTTGACTCCTGTGCCACCAGGGAGGCTCTGATTTTGAACTTCAACTGAGAGGCCTGTCATACTTGGACAATCTCTTCCTTTGGGCTCTTGGTTAAATGTTTAAGAAGAGATTAATGTGACTCCAGTAAGGAGGGAACGGAGGTTCTCATGGTGCTCCAGCCAGTGCATCCTTCAAAGGCTGTGAAGTGCAGCTCTGCTGTGGACACTGGAGCCTACCCGTTTAATTACAGACTTTGCCAGGTACATGTACAGGTTATCATGATTTAAGAGGTTTATGAGACTCGCATAGAGGGGCAGTGGGCATTGGGTTTTAACTTTTATTTGCTTCATCTAGCCTAAATTCAAGCCCTATCACATGCCAGCAGATGAGCTGCCACCACCAGATGGGCAGCATAGTTAGTGACATTCCATTTAGATGCGAGCAATGGTACATCACAGAAAAGGCCACAGGGGCAGGGCTTGGAGTAAAGATTACTCTGTGATTTAAGTTGTAGTCATGCTAGTTACTATCTCGGGTATATTTTTGGGATAATGTCATCCATACTTATGTCAGGTAACTTGTATACTCAAATGAATCACACTAACTCCATTTCTTTGTTCCTTCCTCCTAACCTAGCCATAGCTTCTTGCCTTATTACCCAACAAGTTTTGTAAGTTCCAGGTGTGGTTTTCTGCTTGTCAGTGGAAATCTCTAGCTGTGGAACTCATAAGCATACTGTTCTGCATGTCTAAAGGTAAACTCAGCTTGCTTCCAAAATCAGAATCAGTCTTGACTTTACTTTGTATTGTAAAATACAAAAAAATGTAAAAGTGACTGTATTTCTCATCTGTTGCACATTCTGGATTCAATATGTGACGTGACGCCAATCTTAACTGTCTTTATCCTTGCTGCTGTGGGGAGCCAGTTCAGCCCCTTTACCTCACATTCATTCATTTATTTATTCTACCGACACTAAACTGCTTGACACATGCCACACAATATAAGACTTGTTGGCAGCCTGATATGGTTGCTCAAATTCTGCCTTAAGCAAGGTGAGGGTATCCATAGATTCAAACATCTTCTCATATTATGCAAACTAATAGAACAAATATGACAGATGTAGCTCAAACAGAAGATACAAATTGGGGTAAGCTATTTGAAAACACTGGCAAAGAAATCTGAGGGCAATATCATAAATGCCTTTGGGTCTTTCCTGTTGTCTTGGTGACCACTGATTTGACAGTATTATTGCTTTAGGAACTATTCTTCACCAAGTCTTTCCAAAGCATGCCAAGTTTTCTTGGGGCCTCTTTATTTTTTTAAAAAGATTTATTCATACAGAACTGAGGTACAGGTCAGAGGTGCAGGGATGGTGAGAGGATTCACCAGAGACAGTGGAGAGCAGAACAGGCAGATCGACAAAGTACACTGCTGAGGGGAGCAGTGGACAGGTCAGGAGAGGTCTGCCATGCTATGTGGATCACCTTCAGGGCAGGCGGAGATCGAACTCATGTGGAAGTGGCTTTAGCTTCTTAGTGCTATGTATAACCCACTGTGCAACCAGGGAGGGCCCTATCTTTTTCTTTTTAAGATTTATTTTTATTTAGGCATACAAGAATCAATGTAGGCCAGAGGTGCCTACCCTAAAAGGATTCTCCAGAGACAGAGTAGGGAGCAGAACAGGTAGATGTACCAAAATCCCCTGCTGAGGGAAGTAGTAGGCAAGACAGAAGAGGTCTGCTGTGCCATGTGGGTCAGCTCCTTGACTGGGGATCAAACTCAGGTCACAGCTTAATCATGCTGATGTTCTAATTGCTGCACCACCGAGAGGCTTGTTGGGGCCTAGGGGCCTACTTTCAAGTATTATTTTGTTAACAAGTTCTCTGTGAAAATTGTATATTCTCATGTACTTGTAATATGTAACACAGATGAATTTGGTGTACCACCTGCAGTTTTCTTCAGTGGTAACTATAATGGTTCAGTGTCACACCTAGGATGCTGAGATTGGTATACAGAACATTCTCGTCACAAATTACATTGCTAACGGTCAGTGAGACAGTGCAGATATGAAAGGTACTGTTTACAAGAGATGGAGTGCTCAGGGGTTTGTTGTATCTTGCAGTTGAGGGGAAATTATCAAGAAAGGGCATGAAAGTATTAATCACAGTGTGGAGAATAGATTAAAGGAGCAAAACTGGAAGCAGTCAAAGACACTATGACCACTTCTGCACCCAGCTGAAGAGCCCTCCCCCACCCCCCACGCCCCTAGATGAGAGCAGAGCCATCTGCACAGAACCAGCTCTGTGGGAACCTACTGTGTATAAACCAGCTTTTTACCCCACTCTTGGCCAGGAAGCCAGATAAAAGTTTAAATCACGGGTACCCAGCTGTTGAATTTCTACAGTGCACTCTTTAAAAATAAGAAAAGTGATTAAAACTCAGCACTTACCTTCCTCTGTGCTTTTATAGCACCAGCATTTCTTTAGGGTGAAATAACAGGAAATCAAAAGATTTAAGGCAAAAAACACCTTTTGACAGTAGTGATTACTATTCCATGCTCCTGCTACTCTAACATGGTGTGTGGACTGAACATAAACCTTTGTGGCTGGAATGGCTCTTAGATCTGTCCTACTGTTTCCCACCCTCCAACCCTCACCAGTCATCTGACAAAAACTCTCACTGACACATTTTTTAAAAGATATACTTACTTGTGCATACAGAACTGGGGTATAGGCCAGAGGTGCAGGGGCAGTGAGGGAATTCGCCAGAGACAGTGGGGAGCAGAACAGGCAGACTGACGAAGTTCACTGCTGAGGGGAGCAGCGGGCGGGTCAGGAGAGGTCTGCTGTGCCATGTGGATCACCTCCGGGGCAGGCGGGGATCGAACTCATGCTGAAGTGGCTTAAGCTTCTTTGTGCTGTGCTTTAACCCGCTGCTGCGCCACCAGGGAGGGCCCTCACTGAGACTTTTTAAAAAAGATTTATTTATGGGTTCTCCCTGGTGGTTTGGGTTAAGGTGCAGCACTGTAAGCTAGCTGTAGCCGCTTCAGTGTGAGTTTGAACCTGGCCCCAGAGGTGATCCACATGGCACAGCTTATCCCTCCTGTCTTGCCCACTGCTCCCCTCAGCAATGTACTTTGTCGATCTGCCTGTTCTGCTCCCCACTCTGTCTCTGGTGAATCCTCTCACTGCCCCTGCACCTCTGGCCTGTACCCCAGTTCTGTATGCACAAATAAGTAAATCTTTTTAAAAAAGTGTCAGAGAGGTTTTGCCAGATAACTGGTGAGGGTTGGAGGCTGTGAAATAGTAGGACAGATCTTTAAAATATTTATTTTTGTGTAGAATAACTGGGGTGTAGGCCAGAGGTGTGGGATGTAAGAGGATTTATGAGACAGAGTGGGGAGCAGAACAGACAGATCTACTGAAATACACTGCTGAGGATAGCATCTGGTGAAACATGGGTCTACTGCACCATGTGGGTCAGCTCTCTGACTGGGAACTGAAATGGTGCTGCAGCTATAGCTTGATAGTTGAGACTTTAGTCCTTGTGCCACTATGGAGGCCCCCTCACTAAGACTTTCATTTCAGGTAAGAGACCTTGTCTTTTTGCTGGTTAATTTATTTGGGGAAGGGGGAGCATTGTCATAATTCTGCAGCCTAGGAACTGCAGGCATCCACATTTTCTGCCAGCTCATTTTCCTCTCTTGGTTGAACCCAGTTATTATTGAATCAATCCATCCTGATTACTCCTAGAAAAATCAGACTTTCAGATGTATTTCGCCTACTGTCACCTTTAGGTTTTTTTTTTTTTTAATTACTATTTTTATGTCATTGAATTTGGGTGGTCAGATACGGTTAAAGTGGATACAAACGATACAACCTTTCTCCTTGCCTCTCACTACTTCTCTGAGACGCTTCAAAAATTTTTCAGTAACTCAGGTGTATGTCTCACAGTTAATCTGTGATGTCTTTCACGTTTAATTGGATTCTACTAGCAGATTAATTCCTCCCTAGTAACCTCCCTCGAATTCATTTTTTTTTTTTTATATATAATAGGGGTAGGATCGCTCAGTACTCTGGCTTAAAAAAGTATTTTTAACATGTTCAAAGGATGAGTGGATGAGTGAATGCATGAATGAATGAGGGCTCCAGGTGAAGGGAACTCTACTCTCTGGTCTAGAGCTCGAAGTTCCAAAGTCTCTGGGCCAGGTTCAACAGGTTCAACTGTAATATGTTCAAGTGTGATATCTAGACAGTGCTCGGACTAACAAAAAGTGTCGCTCTGTTCAAGTAAACTTAATTTGGTGCGAGATGTAAAGAGACCCCTCACCAGCTCCTTTTTGCGACTGGCAAGGAGGCGGGAGCCTGTTTACCGTACAGCAGCATGACGATCTCCAGGGGTGTTAGTGAGCGCAGGTTTCCTCCGAAGCAGGAGCACAGTCAAGGCAGCATGGCGGCTGCCAGTGATATCTGTGAGCGCGGGTTCACGAAGAGGAAGCCCAGTTCGTTTCCCTACGGCAGCATGGAGCGGGCTCATGACGGGGAAATGATTTGCTTTTCGTACGACAACATGGCGGCCACCTAAGGGAGCGGCCATGGGCTAATGCCTGGAGGAAGTGGCCGCCGTAAAGGAAGCAGCGCTTCCTCTTACTTCTCCCGCCTCCCACAGGCTGTCGTGAGAGGGTGAATGGAGAGCGAGTTGTCGGGGGGAGAGAGGGCGGACAGGGGGCGCGGAGTCGGAGTGGCGCAGCAAGTGGCTGCAGGTGGCGACGGTGGCGGGGGTGGGGAGTGAAGGGGTGCGGGGGCCGCGGAGCAGGAGGCTGAGCGGGTCCGAAGAGCAACTAAAGCTGCCGCCTGGCCTACTGGGCCGGGGGCCGCGGAGCCCCCACCCGTGCAGATGGACCTCAACCGGATCATCCAAGCGCTGAAGGGCACCATCGACCCGAAGCTGCGGATCGCGGCCGAGAGCGAGCTCAACCAGGTGGGCAGCGGCCTGCGGCACCCCCGAGTCGATTCTGGCCCAGCCTGGCCCAGCCTGGCCAAGCCCAGCCC